TTTGGTGGTGGAGAAGGAAATTTTTCTCCTTCCTCAGCAAGTGCAATTAGCGGTCATAATCCGCTAGAAAATCAAGTATCCAAAACATCTTTTTCTGGTTCTCAGTTAGGAAGCCTGCAACTGTGTTTCAATTTAGCACCAGGATGACTTTCTCGAAATGCTATACAAGAGCAGATACCGCGTTTTTCCCCAACATAAATCTCCCCTGTTTCTCTGTGATACCAGGCTGGAATTTGGTGTCCTCACCATAGTTGGCGGGAAATGCACCACTCATGAGTTTTGTTTTTCCAATCCTCAATTTTTTTTTGGAATTGATTAGGCATGAACTCTATTTTTGACAAGAAATTGGGCTGTTTTTTTTCTACTTCCTTAATTAAGGCTGGTAAATCCAAAAACCACTGTTGGGAAAGCAGGGGTTCAATTACCGCTCCTGATTTAGAAGAATAAGCCAAATTAGTCTCATACTCCTTAATTTTTACACAGATTTTTTTTTCCACTAATTTAGCCACAAATTCTTCGCGAATACTGCTAATTTCTCGTCCTTGCCACGGTCCCGCTAATTCGTTTAATATACCCTTTTCATTGACACAACTAATTATTGGCAATTGATATTTTTTTCCTAGTTCATAATCAGCAAAATCATGTCCGGGAGTGCATTTCAAAACCCCACTGCCAAAATCAATTTTAATGCTTTCATCCGCTAAAATTGGAATAATTTTTCCGGTTCAAGGATGTTTTACCGACTGGTTTAAATATTTTTGAAAACGCTGGTCGTGGGGATTAATAAATAAGGCTACATCGGCAAAAATAGTTTCTGGACGGCTGGTAGCAACTAACAAATAATCATTTTTTGCCGAATTTAATGGTTTGAGATATTCGTCAAAATTAGTAAAAAAACTTCGGTAGAGTCCACTCCCTTCTTTGACCTCCCAAGAATTATAATCTACAAATTTAACCGCGAGAATTTTTTCTTTTTCTTCCTCTGGTATTTGGATTTCACCTGAATAATTTTTGATATAAAAAAAATAAACTTTTCAATATTGATTAGCAAAAAAAACAATTTCTTCCGCAATATTTTCGAGATTTTCCACCACTAAATTAGTTTCTTCAAAAACTTCTCTTTTGGCCGCTAATTCTGGGGTCTCGCCTTTTTCAATTTTGCCCCCCGGAAAGTTCCAGCCTCATTTTTTATCTTTTACTAATAAAATTTCTCCTTTTTCATTGTGGATAACTGCTCGCACTACTTTTGGAAAGTCTTCTTCCTGATTTGTCCGTTTTTTAGTATTTGCCAAGAGAGGATATTTTAAGTAGTATAATTTACTTTGGCTGGGTCTATGCTCTATTTCAATATCCGAAATTACACTTTTTAATTGAGGGTCTCAATTTACTAACTTTTTACCCCGATAAATTAATCCGTCCTGATAAAGTTTGACGAAGGCTTCTTTAACTTGTTTTTGAATAACAGGGTCCAAGGTGAAACTGGCTCTTTCATAGTCAATTAATAAACCAAGTTTTTCCCACTGCTGATAAAAATTCTGGCGAGTTTGGGGATATCAAACCTGAAATGTATAGTTCCTTTTCTTTTCATCAGTATCAAGTTTCGGGAGGGATAATTTTTCAATTTTGCCCTGGGTAGAAATTCCGGCATGGTCAATTCCGGCAATTCAATAGACTGGTTTTTGGTTGAGATAAGAAAATCGCACCAAAAAATCTTGGATAACTGACTCAAAAGCATGGCCTAAATGTAAATTACCAGTAATATTAGGGGGAGGCAAGAGTAAAGTGCCAACAAAATTAGCAGAGGTATTTTTGGTTATTCTCTTTCAATATTTTATTTTTGGACTTTTCTCAGTTAAATGAAAATCGTATTTAGAGGAAAAAGACATGTTATTAATAGATTTTTCAATGGTTTGTATAAAAACTTAAAATTTTAATAATAATGAGTTATAATAGTCCTGCAAAAAAAAAAAAAAAAAACAATCATTTATCTAATTAGTGGCATAACCGCAATAGTTTTGGTAGTCGGGGGAGGGTTGTTTTGAGCCCAACAAAAAAGTTCGCCCCCTTTGCCTGCTCCTTCTGATGAACCTCGTGATAATTCGTCTCCCGGAAATCCTCCCCCTCCTGCTAACCGTGCTAAAAACAAAACTGAAATAAAGATTTTTTGAGGTGGAATTTTATTAGACCAAAAATACGAAAAAGATTTCTGAATTTTCTACGAGGGAGAAAGTTGAAATAAGCGAGGAAAACAAAAATTTCTAATTGCTAGAAATACTCCTGTTTTAGCAGGTAAATTTTTAGACCAAAGTTTATCTTTTACGCTCGCTTATGACGAAAAGGAAGTAGTGAAAGAAGTGGTTGGAGGTAGTGCCGATAAATCTCTATTAACCATTTTCAAAAGCGGCTTCACTTTAACTCCTAGCACCCCGCTTCAAGATGACCCCGATTTTCTAAATCGCTTTGAAAACACTAAGGATAAAAGTGTCTATTTTGATTATTCTAAATATACCGGTGGTGATTATGTTTTTATTGACAATGAGATACAAGGAGGTGTAAACGAAAAGGAATTAAATAAATATGTTTTTCACCCTGATAATCCCTCGATTAAAAAACTGCTTGCTAAAAACCACTTACAACAACAAAACCGACGATGCGAGTTCGAATTTATAGTATTTTATTTAATTTAATGGAAATAACTCTACCTATCCAAAAACACCCCAAAAATTATTAAATGACCTCGCTCAAATCAAGCAAGTATC